GATGGAGAGTAGCAAAACTAAAAATGTCCTCACAGCTACCAAGAATTGAAGGCCTATTTTCAAGCATTTATGTAAGGAGAAAGGGAGGGGAGGGGAGAAGAAGAGGAGGCTGGCTTTGGATACAGCTTGGAGATATGTGAGATCAGTTATTAGTCTTTCTTCCTATTTCATTCTCCCGTTATTATTATTATTATTTGCTACTTTTCCATGAAAAATGTGTTTCCATCTGGAAAAGTGAGAAGGGGTGGCTTGTTTGTGTTGTCGTCTATTTGTCTTTCAAACGCTTGTGAAATAGAGGAGATGAGAAATTATTTCCGACTAAGGAGAATCTAACAGCCCTTCAGTTAAGCTGGGGTCTACATAGCTCAGTGGCAAGGTGCTGCGGGAGTCTCTGGGTTCCGTCCGCTGTGCTGCAGAAACAGAAGCCCACCATGGTCTTCAGTTAAGGCACTGTGGAGATGTGTGGAGCTTCCCCTGGATTGAGCTGTTCCCAGCACTGCATGGTGTCTAAATTATCCCCAGCAGTGGGGCCAACATTGTTCTAAGAACCAGGAAGACTGCGTTCTTGTCCTGAAGAGGCTGCAAACTGGGAGCCACACCTTACTCTGGTGAGCTCTGTGGATAAGGTGGGCAGGAAGAGTACCAGGTGTGTGACAATGCTGAGGGCTGCAGACCTTCCCATCCTGATACTTTTGGAGTATCACTGGCACATGGAAGATTCTGGGTTTAAAGAAAAAACAAAAAGCAAAATTCCTGTTTGCCTTAAATTCTTGGGTAATCAGCTCAACCCAGGGGAAGCTCCACACATCTCCACAGTGCCTTAACTGAGAGGCTACCCTTCCCCTAAACCTTTTGAGTTACTGTGTTCATTTCTTTCTCTCCTCATAGATTTATTGGATTCGCCCAAGGCTTATTGCAAGGTTTTTAATGAAGAGGAGAAAGTTTTAATGGGATTTTTCAGAAAAGGACAATAATTGGGTGAATGTATTGCTGAGAGTTTTCCTTCCTTCTAAGGATGTGCTCTGTGGATGCAGGAATTGCTCCTAAAATTAATTTCTGGCTTCAATAGACTCTGCCAGTATTGGTTGATTCCCGTGAAACTCATACAAGATGCCTGGAGCCTGGCTTGCCATTCTCCTGTCCAGGAATGCCAAAAAAGGGAAAGAGCTGCTTGGCATTGGTTTGCCTCTCTACTCTTTCCTTTTAATGGTGAGGTTAGTTGCGTTCTTTAGAGTTGCAAAGATGAGTCCTCCCAGGGTTAACTTTGAATTGGAGGAGCAGACTGGGCAGGCCAGAAACGTAATCCAGGTTCTGATTCGGTCTCAATATCACAGCCACTTTGAGTAGAAATATATGTGGGTCACAGAAACCATCTGCCATTACTGGGGCTTGGACCGTGGATACCAGGAATTAAAGGATTGTGGGCTGAAGTTTCTTTATGCCTCGTCTATCCCAGACTCATAGTTAAAGCTGACAACCCGGTTAGGCCATGGGAGCACATGCAGCCTGCTCTCTGGCCAAAGGAGAAGGAAAAGATCACCTTGGCCAGGTAGAACACAGTTGAGCATAACTGCTCTCCCAGGCAAATGCTTAGAAAATAGTTGTTCTCTAAATCCCCAGTGAGGCCAACCCGGCTAAGTAGAATCCTGACTTCCCCACTGCTGGGCTAGAGTCAGGAACCCTACCCCATCAGAGAAAGCTGAAAGCCTTCTATATCCTGGCCAGATGGTAATGTCTCCTCCCACCTTCTCACCTTATTCCCTGTGTGATGTCAGTGAAGGCCCGCAAGCTCCTGGACCCCCACCAATGCCCAGCAGTAATGAGGATGCATGCTGTATCAGGTGAAGGATACATGGAAGGCAAGCACAAAACACTTCGGTAAAGCTACCTGACAAAGACTCTAACAGAGTAGTCATAAAAATGCTCTTAGAGCAGCCACAGAGACTCTTGTTTCTATTTTAATTTTGAGAACAAGCCTTAGCATATTACCCAGGTTGCTCTTTAACTCCCGGGGTCAGTGATCCTCCTGCCTCAGTTTGTTTAAGTGTCACCATGTCTAGCTCCTGTCTTTGAACAAATAAAAAAGTACAAAGTAGATACATAAGAAATTAGCACTAATTAGAATTAAATAGAAATCTTAGAAACAAAAAAATTGACAGTTGAAATGAGCTCACCAGAAGGCCTCGGCAGCGAATAGTCGATGCTTTATAAATATTGCTGGTTGAGTTGAAAGGTCAGGCAGAATAGATCATGACTACAGACATGGCTTAATTTAATGTTCATCATAGCGGATAATGAGGACTACTGAGAACTCAAGAACAGTGGCAATGGGTTTTTGATCCTACTGCACATACTGGCTTTGTTGGAGCCTAGGCAGTTTGGATGCTCACCTTACTAGACCTGGATGGAGGTGGGTGGTCCTTGGACTTCCCACAGGGCAGGGAACCCTGATTGCTCTTAGGGCTGAAGAGGAAGGGAGACTTGATTGGGGGAGGGGGAGGGAAAGGGGAGGCGGTGGCGGGGAGGAAGCAGAAATCTTAAATAGATAGATAGATAGATAGATAGATAGATAGATAGATAGATAGATAGATGAACTGAACAACATTGCTACCCATTAGGGAAATGCAAATCAAAATGCAATTGTGAGATACTATCTTATACCTGTTAGAATGGTTAAGGTAAAAACATTAATGATAACCTATATTGTAGAAGATGTGGAGTAAGGTGAACAATTCTCCAATGCTGGTGGGAGTACAAACATGTACAGCCATTTTTTAATTTTTTAATTAGTATGGTGGTTTCTCAGGAATCAAACAACCTCAATACCCTGCTATACCAATCTCAGGAAAATATCCAAATGATGTTCAATCATTTCACAAGGACATTTACTCATCTATATTCATAGCAACCTTGTTAGTAATAGCCAGAACTTGGGACCAATCTAGATGCCCGACAACTGAAGAATGAATAAAGGAAGTGTGCATGATAAAAAAAATTTAATGTTAATGTTATATAAAAAAAATCCACCACCCACCCCCAAATCAAATCACACCTCATGTATTTTATATTGTTCTTTAAATAGTGCGTATAGTAAACTTTTGTAGGTTGGAAATAGCCATCCAGGTATTAGGACTTTAAACCTTGAAAATATTTCTGCTCATCAGCTGGAAAATGGCTCCAATGGATGCCCGTGGGGTAGTGAGGCAGCTGATGAAGTGGTAAAGCCAATGGGTTCAGGGTGATGTCCTTACCAAAACACAGCAAGGGCCATGTTTTCCTCCCATGGTGACCAGACCACAGGTGAGTCAGAGTCAAAGGGCTTCAGAGAATCAGGGTTGCAGGAGCAGGTGTCCTACGTACAAAACGTGCCAACCATGATAGCAGAAAGTTTGGAAAATGTGTCCAGTCAGGGCTGTTTGTAAACCCTGGAACTATTTAGTAAAGAAGTTCTGAACCTGCTATGTTTACGTTTCTGAAGGGGTTCTTAGAAAAATTAATTAGTCTCCACATTCTGTGCTATTTTAAATAGGCCGTTTAGAACATTAGAGGGTAATGAATAGCCATTATGAAAAAGACTCTTTAAACAATAGTTACAATTTAGGTATAATTGAAGTTTTGTGGGCTGTAAAATTGTTTTAATTGATTAATATTGAGTACTTGTGAACCAGTCTAAATCTACCTCTAGTTTTGCTTTGATGTTACATTATCAAGGGCTGGAACTACTTGCACAAGATCACACCAGCCAAATTCTCAACAGTGATAGAGTAGGGACTCGTGAAGTTCCATCCTCAGCTGAGGAGCTGTTGGCAATTGATGGCATCTCGGAAAGAAAGGGTCAGTTTCATGCTCCCATAGATGGTCCTATACCTAAGAACATCTAGGCTGCATGAAATGGGCTCCGTGAATATAAATAAAAAAGCTCACGATGTTGGGAAGGAAAAGTAGTTAGGTAGGGAAGGAAGTGAAAAGAAGGATCAAAACACATTGCATGCATGCATGAAATTCTCAAACAAGTATTAAAGGAAACAAGTGTGGTGTGTGTGTGTGTGTGTGTGTGTGTGTGTGTGTGTGTGTTTTCCTCTTGGTAAAGCTACTTGCTTCTGATATTACTCTCTGGGCCTGATGGTCTTCTGTAATCTCTTGGAGAGTGTCTAGCCAGCCTGTGCCTTCTATTGAAAACTCCACCTCGCTAAGACCTCATTTATTAACGCAGTGTTTCCCTGCTCTCTTGAGTCTTTTCTTTTTCACAGACGAATGCCATCTCCCCCAGTTTCCCTTGACAACGCTATGTATCTGAGACAAAGACCAGGAAAGGTGGTGCAGGAGTCTCTGTGTCCCTGCACTGGGAGTCAGGCCTGAGGGAAGGTGGCTGATCTCAGGAGCTTTCCCCCCTCACATTGGGGTGCTTGCTCACTTCTTCGGGCGCTTCAGTTTGAATTTTCTCATCCCCATTCTTATCCTCAGTCTCTTCTGTAGTCACAGCAAGCTGGTGGCAGCCAGCATCCATATCCTTTTATGAGGGACTACAAGGGCACTAGTCAACTTACCTGACACACGGGTTCAGTCCCTATCCCTCCCAGAGGAGCCTGGGGCTACATTTCACTTGGGTTGGACAACATCCTCCATGTATTCTAAAGGTTTATCTTTGCCCCCTTCTCTGTTTTATTCCCCCTTTTCCACTCCTCTAGATTGATTGACATATAGCCTTCTCCCCGCCCCCTTACTTTCTATAAAGAAATTTAGAGTCCGCCTGTGCTCCCATGAGGCCTTCTTGGCTCCTTCCCATCCTCTGTGCCTGGAGAGACGCTTTCCTAAAGCGCCTGGAGGAAACTGATCAGACCAGACACATGACATTTTCCACTTGTCCTTTTGAAGCAATCAACTCTGAGCCTCTTAGAGGGAAAAAGTCAGGCGCAAATGCGTGTGTTTGCATATGCATTAGTAGCACAATGTGTGCCCTGGTTCTGCCCTGAGGACAAGCCTAACTTATTCATTTACAGCTTCTTTTATTGCAGAAAAAGGAGTGGACATGGGATGAGAGCAAGATGCTGGTGATGCAGGACCCTATCTACAGGTAAGAGCCCAGCCCAGTGCTCAGGAGGATGCGGAGCTCCAGGGACCCTTGCTGTCTCCTGGAGCCATCTCTTTTGCCGGTGGGTGCAAACCAATTTAAACAAAATACTAATTCCTTTCCCCTCTGAGACATGTAGATGGAACTATCTTTAAGGTTAAAAGTTTTCCTGGTGATGAATTGCCCTGAGGGGGGGTTTGAGTGCTCTCTACTTGCTGTTTAATTCAAATGGCCGCATTGTAATTGGAGACCTTTTCAATTTGTGGGTTTTGTGCTACTTGGAATTCTGTAATTGCATAGATATTGATCACGGGAAGAGAGGTAACTGAGTTAGCTCATCTCCCATACTTCCAACTCCCCAGTGCTGTCTCTTCCACTTTTCTTGCTACTTAGAATTTGAAGATAGAGAAGAGGTTTTGGTCATGTGAAAAAGCAAAATGTCCCAAGGACTCCCCCAGAACAATGTGTGGCCCGAATGCTTATGATCCTCCAAAATTTATCTGTGGATAACTTAACCCTCGAGCTGATCGCATGAGGATGGGTGGTATATGGAAGGAATTAGGTCATGAGGGTAGATGTCTGGGATTAGAGATGTCTCAGAGAGTTATTAGTTTGCTCCTATTGCCACACAAGGACAGGGCTCTTGGGTACCATCTCTGGACCAGCAAATAGACCCTCATCAGATAATGAGCCTGCCAGTCTCTTGTCTTGGACTCTCCAACCTCTGGAACTGTGAGAAGTACAATATTAGGTACAAGCCATCCAGTTTATGGTGTGCTATTGTAGCAACTTGAAGTGACACACCCTCAGAAGTTGCTTTTACAATTAGATTGGTACGATCCCCATAGAAGTCCAATGGCTACCACCCATGTGTTTTCTCTAAGGATGAGAAAATCAGTAGCAATAACACAAAACCCAGGGCTGAGCCTGGAACCATAGCATAACCCTGACTTGTGGGCATCATTCTTCCATCTGCAGATCTACCTCCTCCCTTCTGCCTGTTTTCTCCACTGGGAAAGGAGTTATCCTTAGGAGAGTTTGGAGACCTAGACTTAGACCTTGGCCTTTGCCAACTCTCAGATTATTACCATGCATTTGGTGACTACGTGGGTAAGGGCTCATGGAAGAGCTGTTTTAGTGTATAGCTGCAACTTGTTTGCCTGTTAGCTAATTGAATAAGTAATTCATCACGAGGCTGTAAGGCTCTTTAAGGGAGGAACTGTTCTCTGTTAACCTTTGTATATGGTGTGTCAAGCCTGTGCCTGGCCCATGTGAGACACTTAGTAAGTGGTTAGATAAATGCGTTAAATTACGGTATGAAAATTAGCATAAGTTATGGTAATTCACAAGAGGGAACAATTACTTTCTATTTGATTGATGCGGAAAGGCTTTAAGAAACAGATCGCATTAGCTTAGAGACTATAAATAGACAAACTACTACACGGAGCATTTTGTAAAGGAAGAACGCTTTATGTGAATGTGTGGTATCTGTGTGTGCAGGCCACACGAGCGTGGGTGGCTGTCGAGGTCAGAAGAGGGCACCGCATCACCTGATGATGCTGTAAACTTGGGTCCTGTGTTCTCTGGAAGAGCAGCAAGTACTTTCAACATTGAGTCATCTTGTTGATAGATAGAAGGGTTTTTTGTTTGTTTTGTTTTTGGTTTGGCACCATGTACATAAAACAAAGTGACCTTTTGCAGATGCTGTTCATGATTTTTTTTTTGAGACAGTGTCTTTGTGTAGCCCTGACTGTCCCAAAACTCACTATATAGACCAGGCTGGCCTGAAACTCACAGAGGTCCATGCACTTCTGCTTCCCAAGTACTTAGATTAAAGGCATGCACAACCATGCCTGGCTTCTTTGTGAACTTTAATTTTGCCTATTCTTGGTTGGAAGGACTTTCCCATTTCATATATTCTAAACAAACTGTTTTACTTTTAAATAATTTTATTGAGGGAGAATGACATTTCTTAAAAAATGAGAATATCTTCCAAACAAATAACTTGACAAAGTTTTATATGTATGTACATTTGTGAAACCATCACTTTAGCCAAGATAGTAGACATTGGTGTCACTCCAGAGTCACCTTGTGCCCTCTCCTGTCCTTCCTCATCCCACTCCATATTCTGCCGACCCCCACTCCACTACTGAATTTTGAGAGATTCCTGAATAGAATCCTTTTCATGCTTATGATGGGTGGATCTTTGGGTTCGAGAAAAGCCTGGTGTACAGAGTGGGCTCCAAGACAGCCAGAACTACACAGAGAAGCCCTATCTCATAAGTAGTTTTGTTTTTTTCTAATTACGTTTTTTAACTTAATTTGACAGGGTCGCAATATGTAGGTCAGGCTGGCCTCACACCTGCAGTCCTCCTGCCTTGGACTGCCAAGTACTGGGGTTATAGGCGGGCACTACTATGTCTATTAAGTTTCAAATTTTGGTGGAAGTAAAATTTATCATAAAATCATTCCCTGACTCAGAGACTTTCTGTTTTCATCTGGAGCATGATAGTTTTAGGCCTTATTTATTTATTTATTTATTTATTTATTTATTTAGGTTTTTTGAGACAGGGTTTCTCAGTAGCTATGGAGCTAGTCCCAGATCTAGCTCTTGTAGACCAGTCTGACCTCGAACTCACAGAGGTCCACCTGCCTCTACTGCCCGAGTGCTGGGATTAAAGGTGTGCACTACCACCGCCTGGCAGTTTTAAGTTTGTGAACATGCAAATAGTTCGTTTTGGTTGCGTGTGAGGGGTGGACTAAGTAGACCTCCTCCCCTACTCCGTCCACTGTCCTCTGTCCACTGCTGTCTACCACCCATGGATAGCCAGTTATCTTGACCCCATTTGTTGAAGGTTATTCTTTCTCCACTCAACTGTTGTTGCATCTGTATTAGAAATCAGCGAGCCATTTCTTTATGGTCAGTTTCTATTCTATTCATCTAATTATATTTATTCTTGAAATTGCATAGTAATGACCCTCCAACTCTCTTCTATTTCTGAGATTTCCTTCAATTTGGGTAGTATATCTTTTCACATCTATTCATTTTTCGAAAGAAAAATCTACCCTGAAGAGGGGAACATCAGTGAATTTTTAAATGAGTATTTCTTTGCTTCAGAACACATGCACACATTCTGTCTCTCCTGTCTCTCCCTCTCTCTCCCTCCCTCCTTCCCTCTCTCCTCCTTCCCTCTCTCCCTCCCTTTCTCTCAGATACACACACACACAGAGATTTTTTTTAAAGTGTTAGGATTTGATAGGCTATTCTAGATGCTATATTTATTTCCACAATGTGGAATTTAATGGTTCTTTAAAATTGCATCATGTTATTGTTTGTTTATGTAACTTACTATGACAGGTCTTAGCTTGTGGTAGTTTCTAGGCTTTTAGAAATATTTGAAGTAGTTGTTTGAATCTTATTTTCTGTGTTCTTTAGTGTTATGGTTTTCTTAGCCTAAATACAGAACTAAAGGTACTATGTCTACATGTCACTGTGGTAAGGACTTTGCTGTGGAAAGTAGACTTGCACATTTTGGGGGGAGCTGCAAATAGAAGGTCCAGAAAGGGTCAGAGCAAAATCCTTCACCCACCTTGCCTGCTGTGGGTTCTGAGTCAGAGCATCCGGGAGCAGCTGGGAGCCTGAGTTAGAGTCTGCTGGATTTCACCTGCAGAGGGACCAAGTGCAGGGTCCATGCGAGGGTGCTGGCTCTTCCTGGCAATGCAGTCAAGCTTCTGATGTCAGACCTGGGCCCCTGCTATTCAGCAGAGCTGACAGCTGGGAAGGAGAGCTGGACACAGGACATACAAAAGTGAGGAGAAGCTCCAAAAAGTCATTCGAGAGACCCGTGATGCGCAGATGCTCCCTCTAACCCCTGATGATCTCCAGAAGAGAACGGCTGTCGCTTCTGTTCCACCATCCAAATTTCTCACTAGTCTGTCTTTGGGGGAAGGAGATCCTGGAACACATAGGTTTAGCTTGGTCGAGTTCACTCAGTAAGAATTTATACAGCAACCTAGTAGCAGGCTGACTCCCCCTCCTAGTTTTCTGTGTGTGTGTGGCTTTCACGAGAATATCTTCTTCCAAGTCACACATGGAATAAAGCAGAGATGGGCCTGGAAAAGGAAGAGCATGAGGGTTTTATTGTTGTTTGGTTTTCAACTCTTTGCCAACCTTGGATTTCATTTTCCTTCGTGAGGATGCTTATTTTACCTTTTATTTTAAATGACATAGTTCCTAGGATAAAAATAAGTTCAACAGTGTATTTACTTATTTCACACTGTGGAAACCATTGCCTTTGAATTTTAGTGTGACTGCCTGGAAATCACCTCTCCTACTCGTCCTGAGCACAGACAGAATCAGCATATTTGACTACATCCGTCCCTGTGATATTTATATTCCTTGCTACTAGAGATTGAACACAAACAACCCCCCTACTTTTTTTCCCCTTAATGCTAGAGGAAGTAAATCAGTATGACTCGAAGTCTTTGGGAAGCAGAGTAGAGTAATTCTCCAGTTCTTTCAATGACCAAATCATGTAGATTTGTTCCCAACAGGCTTCCAGACAGTTCTCAGAAATGGCATTAATATCCAAACAGCTGCTGTGGTAATTTGAAGTCAGGCAGGTGTATTCTAGTATTGATCTTAATCCTCCACCCATGCTTCGATTCTTGAGTAAGTGAGGAATCAGTTACTTGGGACTTCCTGGAGAGGGAGGAAGAAGTGAGTGGAAACTGCTTGGCACTGGGGTAAGCAGTGGTATTTCATGCTGAGGCCAGTCGGGAGGCAGAAACCATAGCGATTTAAACCGAGTTTTCTAATAATTATTAAGCTATTAAGCTGCTTGCATAAGCAATAGCTTATCAAATGGAAATCCCAGTGTCAATTCCCTAAGAATTGTTGACTAGGAATGTCCCTGGCTTTCCCAAGACAATACAAGCGATTACTGCTGTTATTAATTACTCAGCAGAACTGGCTGATAAGACCCTATTACTGAAGACACGTC